TATGCTGACATTTACATCAGAGATAAATAAATTTCTCTTTATGTACCCATTAATGAATAATTTACCTCAAAATATTATGGCTATCGCATGATCAAAATGATTATCAGTTACAAAATGATAATTACTTATTTTCAATTTTATTATTGACAAGTGAATTGCAATCAAAGATATTTACATTCACATCGCTTGGTTTTTTTAGATGACATGAAATATTCAAGTCTCATATATTGCATAAAAGACAAAAATTGAAAAAATTTACATCACTTTATAGATTAAAAATTAAAATTCGTCCATTTTTGTCCACAAAATTGGAATAAAAATTTAAAAGAGTTATTTTAAGTTGAATATCATGCATTATATTTATTTATTCTTTATTAATCAATTCATAGATTAAAGAACAGAAATTTGACAATTGATTTCCGTATGAATTAGAGGCATCCTTAGAAGAGTTGTATTGTCTATATTCACGAAGATAACATACACTATCATTTATTCCCTCTACTTATCTGAAAATCGATACCAACTAAGAGCAATAATTATTACGTCTGAGTGATTTTTTGTTGTATCAAGCATTACAGGTCATTTCTCTAAATAAAGAGAACAAAAAGGCTAGATAAAAAACAGAAAAATCCAAGTCATTTTCTGTGAATAAAAAATAAATAAATAGCTTTTCTACTAATTAAAACAAGATTATCTCTTTGATAATGATCATTTCATAACTAAAAATAAAACTCCCTAAATCTGTAGACCAAATAATTCTTTCCTCTGCAGAAAAATGATACTCTCAGCATGAAAAATCCGACGGAAAAATGTGAGAACGAAGATTAATCGAAGTCGTAAAGAATTAAATGGTAAATAAAAGACTACAGGTGTAATTTAAAAGGGTTTAGGAGTCGAGGAGAGAATGTGTAATGAATGCAGATCGTGGGGTGCGCAGCGTGTTTCTAATTGGCAAGATTTGTAATCGGTCGCGGGTGTCAGGTCGATTCAGGTTAATGTTAGAGGTGGAGGATGAAGGGTTAAACCTATAGCGAGGTCGTATGGTATAATACACCCACATATATAGAAGCATGCCCGAGGCACAGATGTGCTTGAAACATCGCTCGGTGTATCCGGCCTACACTGAATTTATACTGGATCCCTTCTCCAGTCTCTTTCATTCGCTGATGTCACTATCAACCCCTTCAGCGTTGGTTTGCTATAAAATCCCCGACGAACGTTTTGCGCACAGCATCGCGCACTTGGTAATCCGTGCTAATTTAATTGCTCGTCGTCATCGATGGTCGTTAACTGAAATAGAATTGCCAACGATAAACGTCCAAACACTCGTGCCATACCACGAGGGAAACATCAGAGCAAGAGAGAAAGACATTCCACTGTATGGGGAATGAACCAATGCCACGGGCCACGTGTCAACGTCTATCGGTATCGTATAATTGGGATATTAAGTACATTAACCAGCTGCAAACCACACTAGACATCATTGCTTTTTTGTTATATCTTTTACGTTTGTCCAATCCGACCTCTCCAATATTTTGCTTCATTGTTCTTTATTATTTCATACGTACAAGCCAATCACAGTTCGTTATAGCATTCAATTGATTCTAAACTTTTTGTCAATCGATTTTTGATGAGTTTTGCATTTTTACCTTCTCTTTGTAGTCCTGATAGAATTGTAAAAATAAAAATTCTGATTTTACAATTCCAAGGAAAAGTTTAATCGGAACGTTTATAGGTTTGTTTTTTTTTTTTTTACTGAGTAGAATGTTTAAAACTTGAAATTAACGAGTCACAGGCGGCACGCTCAGAGACTCGTATACCAAGAAACTTTCAAGCATATTGGCTTGTCGATGAACAGAATTTTTTTCTACTTTTACTAGTAGCGAAAGGACTTTCAACATTTTTCGAAGCGCACATTCGAAGGATCCAATTAGCGCCAGGTGCTTCTCGAGTTTACTCGATTCCACATTTATACAATTTTCTGTATATATAAAATTCTATGAAAAGCTTTGGTAAAAGCGGAACCTTGTCAAAGCATTATTAGAGTTGAGTTGTTGAATTGATCTCGGTCATAACCTTCCAATGCCAATTAGATTGATTTTTTATATTAAACTATGGAATAATAATGACATCACGTAGTTTTGCGAGAAATGGTTAATTTAATTTCTTCATTGTTGGGAGTGAGCATGAATGATATTCATGAGGAACATTTGGAGAACGGAATAATTTTTTTTTGAAAATTTTCACATAATAAAATTAATAAAATAATAATACATTGGCGAGAAATTATAAGACATAAAAATGGGCATAACTTTGATGCTAATTATGCTACGGGGTTGATCGAGGACTCATTGGAAAGATCTCGATGAGAGGAAAGAAGACAATATGGTAAAAATCATTTTTAGTGCATAATTTATGCAAAAATTGAAGAAAGTTCCCGTTTTACCCCATTTTAGGGGTGGAAAAATAAATTTTTCAAATGTTTGACCTGATTCCGCATTTCTACGCATTGAGACGAAGAGAATGAGTGGTCGAACTTGAAAATCGGACAACTTTGATTTTTCGACCCCAAAAAATGGCAAGTGGTACCCCTTTCCATTTTTTTTGGCCAAAAAATAAAGGTACTCCGATTTTAATGATTGAGGGCTCATTCTCTTCGTCTTGATGCGTAGAAGTGCGGAATCGGAGCACCGGTCAAGAAAATTCACTTTAACACCCTTAAAAACGGGTTACACTAAATACAAATTATGGATTATCATCCCCTTGACTTTAAACCCCTATAACTCGTGAACGGATGATCCAATAACTAATTTTAGGGACGTTTTTAAAAGCTTGAAATTTAGGCTACACACTCATATCTATAAGAAATATCTGAAAAATTCCTTTCACCCTTAAAATCGCGAAAAATTAAAAAAAAAGCACATTTTTTTGGGAGTTCGTCAACTATTTTGGCAATTTTAAGGGTAAAAGGAATTTTTTAATTGCTTCTTATGGATATGTGTTTTTAGCTTAGATTCTGAAGTTTCTAAACAGCCCCTAAAAATCATTATTCGATTAATCGCTCAGGAGTTATGGAGGTCCAAAGTCGAAGTAAGGCCGAAAAATTGTCTACTCTTAAACTTTGGACCGCTATAATTCTTGAACGATTAATCGAATAATGATTTTTAGGGGCTGTTTAGAAACTTCAGAATCTAAGCTAAAAACACATATCCATAAGAAGCAATTAAAAAATTCTTTTTACCCTTAAAATTGCCAAAATAGTTGACGAACTCCCAAAAAAATGTGCTTTTTTTTTAATTTTTCGCGATTTTAAGGGTGAAAGGAATTTTTCAGATATTTCTTATAGATATGAGTGTGTAGCCTAAATTTCAAGCTTTTAAAAACGTCCCTAAAATTAGTTATTGGATCATCCGTTCACGAGTTATAGGGGTTTAAAGTCAAGGGGATGATAATCCATAATTTGTATTTAGTGTAACCCGTTTTTAAGGGTGTTAAAGTGAATTTTCTTGACCGGTGCTCCGATTCCGCACTTCTACGCATCAAGACGAAGAGAATGAGCCCTCAATCATTAAAATCGGAGTACCTTTATTTTTTGGCCAAAAAAAATGGAAAGGGGTACCACTTGCCATTTTTTGGGGTCGAAAAATCAAAGTTGTCCGATTTTCAAGTTCGACCACTCATTCTCTTCGTCTCAATGCGTAGAAATGCGGAATCAGGTCAAACATTTGAAAAATTTATTTTTCCACCCCTAAAATGGGGTAAAACGGGAACTTTCTTCAATTTTTGCATAAATTATGCACTAAAAATGATTTTTACCATATTGTCTTCTTTCCTCTCATCGAGATCTTTCCAATGAGTCCTCGATCAACCCCGTAGCATAATTAGCATCAAAGTTATGCCCATTTTTATGTTTTATAATTTCTCGCCAATGTATTATTATTTTATTAATTTTATTATGTGAAAATTTTCAAAAAAAAAATTATTCCGTTTTCCAAACTTTTTCCATAGTCCCACGATGGGAACGTCAGGGAACGGAATTTTTTCATACGGGTAATTTGTCTTGGATATCATAGTGGTAAGAGAAGCTGCAGTAAGATAGGCTATGTGCAAAATTCTTGGAAAAATAATGACATCATTTTCTACTTTTGTACGTGGGTCATGCTCTCATTTCTCACACGTGTAGCATAATATACTATTCTCTGCATGACAAAAAAATAGTTGCTATATTTTACATGCAGTACATTTTCATAAAAAAATACAAATCAACAATTAAGACGATTGTTTAAATTATCTAAATATTACTTTTATATAATCTTAGAAGAAAAATGAATTGTAAATTTCAAAAAAATATGGTCATCTATCCCGGAAAAATTTAGTTCACAGATTTTCACTAAATGAATACATTAAGGCTGTTTAATTTTCACTACTAATAAATATGACGCAGTGATTTAACGAAATATTGTATAATGGCAAAATGTAATTTGTCGACGTAAATTGAGTAGATGGAATAGCTGTTTTTCATGATACGCGGCGTTGAGATTCACGTTTGTGTCATTTATAACTTGCAACATCAATTAATGTCATCCTGTAATTGCATAGTCCTAAAATCGATTGGCATAATACTCACAGTGATGTTTCATGTCCATTTCCGTCCGAGTCTAGAGCAGCAAATTTACTCTCAACACAAAGAATCCCGTAGGTGGCTCATAAAGGAAGAGTAAAAGAGAATTGGCTTTTCCCGGAAGTCACTTCCGTTTGTCCACAATGACGACCAAGTTCGAATTGTCAGAACCGCGACTGCTTCCGCTCGCGAATTTTTCAATTCTATTCTTTTTTATTTCTTTTAACTGGCAGCTTCACACTCGGGAATTCTTTGTAATTTTTCGGATATTCTTTTCTTTGAGATCCTTGAAGAAGTTTGCTTGAAAGAACTCAAAGTTTTTGCGAGCAAAGATAAAACTAGATTTCTAGACAATTGATGTAATATACAGCTTTATGTGTATGCTTCTCAAGCTTTTTATTCATCAAGCAAAAATATACAAAAATACTTGGACAAAAGTATCTGTTATTATTCAGTATAATTTTTAACAAACCTTGTAAAAAATCAAGTAAAAAAATATAAAACTTTATTTAAAAGAATAAAAATAATTATCGATTATGCTCAAATGGTAACTGTGCCACATCACTCATGAATGTGATGATCAATTGGTAGTTAAATAGTTGGGAGTTCACTAGGTATGCCAAGAGGAGTACTCAAATGACAATTAGAGACATCATTACCACCAACCTGAAATCATCAAATTGTCTCTTAGTCATCTTGTTTGCATTATAGAATTGTATTCATAATTTCAAAAACAATTCAAATAAATTCCATACTATGCTTTCTATCAAAATAATTAATTCATTACTAAATATTTCAACTCCCTTCGAAAACAATATTATAGAACTGATATTTTAGATATCAGACAGTTCAAAAAAATTAAATATTGTATAAAATTATTTATAATGCAGTAAACATTTTTTTTTCGAAGAGTAATGTTATATAGTAGTCTGGTAAAATTGATTCGAAACAATCAATTAAAACAAAACAGGTCAAACAAAGTCTATAATTTTAATCATAAATTCATGCTCAATATATCTATCAATACTGACCACTGCTTTCGCTGGACCACCCGCTGCTAGGTTTCCATCCGCTGCTCCATCCGCTGCTACTAGGTTTCCAACCACTGCTGAGACCTCCCCCACCGAGTTTCCATCCACCGCCAGATCCTTTACTAGGCCATCCTCCACTGCTCCATCCACTTGAATATCCACCACTAGGCCAACCGCCTCCACCGCTTGGCCATCCACCTCCACCACCGCTCACCGTAATGACCTTCAAGTGCAAAACCCATTATTTTCCATCTTAGATGAAAAAATTTTTGTCATCTCCAAAAAGTATTTTTTGAAAGATTCGTTGTTTTTCATTCAAAATAATTGATGATTTACTTTGATAATTTTTCCACCGCCACTGCCACCACCGCCATACCATCCGCCACCACCTCCTCCGCCTCCGGATTTCCAGCCTCCATCGCCACCTCCTCCATATTTCCAACCTCCGCCACCACCACCACTAGACCAACCACTGCTGATGTAACCACCTGGATAAGCATCATTTAATTAATTAATCTAGTGTAAACAGATGGTATATGCTCTTCGAATAAACGGATGAGATAATTTTATAGTAATTGATGACTCACCATAAACTGTGGCTATAAACGCAAACAAAAGGACCAAACTCAATACCTAAAATCATACAACAAATGTGGATTTATGAATTGTAATAAATCTTATTACCTATTACCAACTTCATATTAATTCGATATTGAATGGTTATGACCTTTTTGATTATACTTTCATTCCACATTTAAAACACGTGTCTTTCAATTGATTTCGTCTATACTTTTTTATTCTAATTAATAGTAAATATCTAATAATAACAATCACATTATAATTTTCTTATTCACTATTAAACTTTTAAAAATCACTATTTCAATTTTTTTTTTAAGGAAATATTGAATGATTATATTTAACAAACATTGAAGTATAAATTTCCTTTAATTTTTCCGTGCTGTTTTGACTTGAAAAAAAATCACAAAGCCCTGTCATCTGTTGCTGACACTAAAAATTGACAGGTTAAATAGAACAAATGTAATATGAAATATTCATTAAAATTACTCGCTTACGTTTCACACGACAAATTGATTCACCAAAAAAGAACTATGGTCAATCAGAGAATTGATTGATTTATTAAATTTAATTAAAAACTCTAACACCTAAGAAGATGATGAAAAAAATATTTTATTGATTAATAACACTTGGATATTTGTTTCAGCCGTACGTACCTTCATCCTGAAAAGAATATGATGATTCTTCGTCTGACCAGCAGGCTTTATATAGTACGCGCCTTTCTTGTGATCCCCGCCTTGCTTCCAAGTAGGTAAGATGCAATCCAAAATCCTCTGAAGTCTCTTCTATATTGCCCACTATTTTCAATCTCCCTACCACGAACCCTTCTCTTTTTAGCTTATTCATCAGCAGCATTGTTTTAAATTACTTGGATTTTTTATGCAATTAAACATTAACGACATAATTCTCACACTTTCATATCACCTCTATATCTCTACCTATTTTTGATTTTCTCATTATGAATTCCCCTTTTGTCTTGAAAGTCTATCAAGACCCGGTGGCATTGTAAAGCTAGAGTTTATTCCGATTTATGGCGATAAAAAAGAGAAAAAAGATGAGTTTCGTTAAGTGAGAAGGCCACAAACATTGTCCAGCCTTTCACTTGTTGACCATCAGTTTATCTCGTCAAGTATCCTGTCTCTTATGTGATCTCCATCCTCCTAAAATCATTTATTTCATTTATTTACATTCTTACAAATGCGATTTAGTTATCATCATTATATTTGGAGTGCTGAAAATGACGTAACTTCATCATCCACAATTTATTTCGAGCATAAAATAGCTTTGTATTGTTCGAAGAAAGAATAAAAAAAAATAATAATAATTTAGCTAATGGGTGGAGATAGAAATTGGACATAAAACAGAGGAAAATCTAAAAAAGGGGGTAAAAATGTGACTGCGCCTGTTTTACGAGGAGACTGGCGTTCATTCACCGACGATTATCCTCTTGGCATATACAGTAAAAGCGATCGGTTGAATGACCGGTTTTATATATCTTCCGTATAATGACACAACTTTTCTGGGCATTTTAACCAATCGGATTTTTTTTAATTGAGATAAATCGTCATACTAATCATTTTTTTTTCTTTTTAGCTTGCAAGAGTCTCCATAAAAGTAGTTGAATCCAGTGGGGATATATGATACAAAGCGCAGAAGAGACGAAGGATCTCCGACGATCAACGCAGCTTGACGAGAGGATACTCAACAAGAGTGTCCTCAAACAGATGCTGGACGGCTCAACCATTTCATCAAGCATCAGTGCTCTTTTGTCGCCTCATTCAACTCTCAATCAATTATCGACACATATATGTGGATAGAGACACTATACTATAAATATCATATTTGTTGAAGATCTTCAAAATTAGTTTATTTCTATATTTATTTTCACAAAGAACAGAATTAGCTTCTCGATATTAAGTCATGTAAAAGTCGTTGACAAAGGGTTGAACAGCAAAATTTCAAGTAGTTGGATAACGAAAGGAGACAAGTGAACCATTGAATGATCAGTTAAGCTTTTGAAAAAAATTGATTTTTTTTTGTTACTCTTCTTTTTACTCATCATTTAGTACACTTGAGGACTTTTTTTATCTGTAAAGATTGTGAAGAAGCTGGTAAAAAAGAATTTGAAGAGCAAGCTATGACAAATTAAATAATTCACTTGCATTTAATTGTATACGTGAAGAGCATTTTTAGCAAAAAGATTTAAGGTAGTTTTGTAAATAAAGTTCAACATCCACTCATGTAATTTTAAATTATTGTAATAATATTTATTAATTATTAATAAGATAAAGTAATTCTTTTCTGTGATGTTCATTGAATTTATATTAAAATATTTTCATAAATGGTGGTCATATTATCAGATATAAATTGAATTGCCTACTAATTTTTTTATAACAAAATATTCATCAATCCAATTGAAATTATATTTTATTGATATATTAATAAATAGCAAATAAATATTTAATTTCATTTTATTTTTCATTGTTAAATATATTACTAGTTCAAGCTTTATAATTTTAATAATGACTGACTGAATTTGATTATAAATTTTAATTAAAATGTTTATTAATTAAAAATTTCATTTAATTAAAAACAAAAAAAAATCATATTTTTTTATTAACTTATTTCAATATATATATAAATTCTCCTATTTTTCAAACTTATATAACTTTTATAAATAATATATAATAAACATGTACAATACTAAAGTTTTATTAAATTTTATAACTCTCATAATCCATAGCAAAAAAAAAGAAGAGAACACATTCTGAATATTTAAATTTGAAAATCCCTACTTATACTTATGAAACACAACATCTAACAATAAATTGAGTGTTTAAGGACAAAAATACTTGAATAAACAGAGAGTAAGAATTTGTTTGAACTTCTTATACACTGCAGCATCCATTTATGCGAAAACAGTAAATAAGATAGTGAATCATGGTGTTTAAATTGAAAGCAATAAAAAGATAAACATAATAAAATACAAAAAAGTGCTCAAGTTTCTCTTATTTGAGACGTTTTTGTTGCGAAATAGAGAAGGTTTCCTGCAGTGACGAAATATCAAAATAAATGACCAACGAATCAGACCTATTTATGTGTAACATCACTATATACTGAGTTAATTTTAAAAAGATAAAACTCAACGATACTAAAAGTGTTCCTGACCGGATTTAGTCTGAATGACATCAAGGATGACACTGTTACAAGAGTCTTGAAATACGATTGCAGCATCAAAGTATTTGTGTTATGGCGCCACAACAATCCAAAACTCTTCAAGTAGTTAGTAGAATGGTCGTCTAGAGTGTCATAATACTGAAAACTCACTCGACAATTATATTTTATCAAGATATAGCCTGTTTCTTGCTATATATTTCCAGCCATTTCTTACTCCATCTGATTCAAAGCCTTTACTTCTTGGCAATCAACAATTATTGAATGATAAACACATTAATCATAATAAACCTTGATGTACTCTTTTGAAACTAATTGGAAAATACTACACATGTTCATTGCAATAAGTTAATGATCATAACGAGTTGGCTTGAATTAATTATTTATCTTAAATAATAACCTTCTTATGTTAAATCATTAAATAGCAGTAAACTCTCACTTTCTCTTCATCCAGTGGTATTCAATTTTATCTTTTTTTCTATATTTCATTTGTAAGCTACTTAATTAATTACCAGTCAAAATAAATTCGTCTGTTGATAATTTTAATTAACTTATCCATAATCGTACTTTATTATCATTTGTGTATATTTAATTACTGCTGCTTGTGGATTAAATATCTTAATTTGAATGCGATGAAATGTTCTTGAGCAAATTAGTCAAGACGTTGGTGCAAAAAAAAGCATAAACTTGTTTGTATTTCTGATCAAATAAGACAGAGAATAATAAATAGTAAAAGATAGAATTTTTATCTTAAATTGAAAGATAAATTTTGAAAGGATTAAATATAATAGTTCCTGTGAAAGAACGAATTGAAAAGAGAATTCAAATACAAATTCTGGTGCGTGTAAAATGGTGGTGAATCAATGTGATGGAATGAGTTGAACATAATCGAGAATCGTAGAGAATTGAATCGCTATGTGCTTAGTAATTCCATCGATCACTTGGGTCTACAGAAGTAAGAAATATCTATATACATTCTACAGCATACTTACTCATGATATTTTCTTCTATTCTTCAATCTTCTCTTCCGTTGCTTCCGCGCAAGTCGATGCTAGTTTACTCAAGAATTCAAAATCCTTACCTCGTGCCTTCCCTTATAACACGTTAGGAACGTTACTCGTGATCGTCTTCTTTTTTTTTACTCTTCCTCTCCTCTTAGAAATGGATTTGTGACGATTCAATTTACGTAAACCTCAGATCATCAGCTTTTTCTTGCTATACCAATTCCATCTGATACTTTTAAACACTCAACTTTCTTCGCCTGTTTATCCCGGAAGAGGATAAAAATGTTACTTGCTCTCAGTGCACTGAAACTAATTTCATAATCGTGCTATTGACATTGAAGCTCATAACGGCATGAAGAAATAAGAGAATGCAATTTTAAGCTCCAGGTTATGTAATTATGTTATGGAATATTAATGGATGGGTATGGATAGTGGTATTAAACAGAATTAAAGAGTCATCCTGGATATGAGTATGAGTGATAAAAATTGGAGATAAGCGAAAAATGAATCCTGGTGTTTGTGATGAGGTTTGGGGCATTTTTTTTGAAGGAAGAAAAAGATTGATGTTTGTTTGATCTTTGGCGTACTTTGAACACTCTCTAATGCAAAAAAAATTACTTAACAAAATTACTGAAATAATGATGTATTGGCGAGAAATTATGAGACATGAAAATAGACATAACTTTTATGCTAATTATGCTACGGGGTTGATCGAGGGCTCATATGAAAGATCTCGATGAGAGGAAAGAAGACAACATGGTGAAAATCATAATTAAAGCATAATTTATGCAAAAATTGAAGAAAGTTCCCGTTTTACCCCATTTTAGGGGTGAAAAAATTAATTTTTTGTATTTTTGCCCCGATTCCGCATTTCTACACATTAAGACGAAGAGAATGAGTGGTCGAACTTGAAAATCGGACAACTTTGATTTTTCGACCCTAAAAAATGGCAAGTGGTACCCCTTTCCATTTTTTTTGGCCAAAAAATAAAAGTATTCCAATTTTGATGATTGAGGGCTCATTCTCTTCGTCTTGATGCGTAGAAATGCGGAATCAGGGCACCGGTCAAGAAAATTCACTTTAACACCCTTAAAAACGGGTTACACTAAATACAAAATACGAATTATCATCCCCTTGACTTTAAACTCTTATAACTCGTGAACGGACTGTCCAATAACGGATTTTAGGGACGTTTCTAAAAGCTGAAAATCTAAACTAAACATACATATCCATACAAAATGTTAAAAAAATTTCTTCCACCCTTAAAATCGCTAAAATATAAAAAAAAAACACATTTTTTTTGGGAGTTGCCAACTATTTTGGCCATTTTAAGGGTGAAAGAAATCTTTTAATTGCTTTTTATGGATATAGATCTCAAGCTGAGATTTTGAAATTTCTAGATGGCCCCTGAAAATCATGATTAGATAAATTGTTCGAGAGTTATAGAGGTCCAAAGTCGAAGAAAGGTCAAAAAATCATCCACTCTTCGACTTTGGACCTCTATAACTCATATACAATTTCTCGAATAATGATTTTTAGGGGCTGTTTAGAAACTTCAGAATCTAAGCTAGAGATTGATATCCATAAGAAACATATTAAAAATTTACTTCACCCTTAAAATTGCCAAAATAGTTGGCAACTCCCAAAAAAATGTGTTTTTTTTTTTATATTTTAGCGATTTTAAGGGTGGAAAAAATTTTTTTAACATTTTGTATGGATATGTATGTTTAGTTTAGATTTTCAGCTTTTAGAAACGTCCCTAAAATCCGTTATTGGACAGTCCGTTCACGAGTTATAAGAGTTTAAAGTCAAGGGGATGATAATTCGTATTTTGTATTTAGTGTAACCCGTTTTTAAGGGTGTTAAAGTGAATTTTCTTGACCGGTGCCCCGATTCCGCATTTCTACGCATCAAGACGAAGAGAATGAGCCCTCAATCATCAAAATTGGAATACTTTTATTTTTTGGCCAAAAAAAATGGAAAGGGGTACCACTTGCCATTTTTTAGGGTCGAAAAATCAAAGTTGTCCGATTTTCAAGTTCGACCACTCATTCTCTTCGTCTTAATGTGTAGAAATGCGGAATCAGGTCAAAAATACAAAAAATTAATTTTTTCACCCCTAAAATGGGGTAAAACGGGAATTTTCTTCAATTTTTGCATAAATTATGCTTTAATTATGATTTTCACCATATTGCCTTCTTTCCTCTCATCGAGATCTTTCATATGAGTCCTCGATCAACCCCGTAGCATAATTAGCATTGAAGTTATGCCCATTTTCAGGTCTTATTATTTCTCGCCAATACATCATTATTTCAGTAATTTTATTAAGTTATTTTCTTTTGCATTAGAGAGTGTTCAAAGTACATTTGGCGTAGAGACGTATAATCAAAACAAAAGAAATTCCGTTCTTCAAACTTTCCCCATAGTCCCACGAAGGGAACGTTTGGGGATCGAATTTTTCATGTACGGGTTACTGTCTACTTGCTCAACATTTTCTCTATTTTTACACAAAAATTTTCTTTCCCGGCAATTACTATTAAAAGTTAAAATATTCATAACTTTAATGAGTAGAAAACAAGTCTTAACTAGCAGATAATAGTAACTCAAGTTTACTACGTTCTCTCTAATGTGTATGTTAAAGAGCATTATACAGTCTTTACTACATATTACGTACTTCAATAACTCATTACCCGTCAAATAATTCTGATCGATATAGTTTAAACTTTCTAGCATTATCATGAATCATTTCAAAAGTTAAAAAAAATCATTTGCAACAAATAAATAAAAAAATTTATCAACTATTCATTCAATCAATCTAGCTTTTACGATTGTCTTAAAATAAAAAATTTTATTCTCGTGAGTCCTGGATATCCATGGAGTTGAAAAATTTATTCAACTCTTGAAATTGCCTTTAAAAATTGGAATCTCTTCTCTGTTATGTCTTTTATCAATAGAAAATAAACATAAATAGGAACTTTGTTAAATTCCTTCATTTTCTATTCTGATAAATGATGCAGTTGGCTGAATAGTACTTGAAGAGAATCGAAAAGTT